GCCTCGCCCTGGTTTGTGTCTTTGAGTGGTTTGTGTTTTCTTGCTTTCTCCCTTTGCGGTGTACGTGCACCCCACAGCCCCCACTTCGCGGCTTCCGGGTGTACGAACGTACACCCCCGCGCCGCTACCTTCAATGTGGGGCCAAGCTGAGGCTCAGCAGCAACACCCCACTCCCGCTGCTGCTGCTGCTCCAAGTCCCGCTGCTGCTGCTGCTGCTGCTCCAAGTCCCGCTGCTGCTGCTGCTGCTGCTCCAAGTCCCGCTGCTGCTGCTGCTGCTGCTCCAAGTCCCGCTGCTGCTGCTGCTGCTCCAAGTCCCGCTGCTGCTGCTGCTGCTGCTCCAAGTGCCGCTGCTGGTGCTGCTGCAAGTGCCGCTGCTGGTGCTGGTGCTGCTGCAGACTCTCGGGGGAACCCGACGGTGGAGGTGGACCTGAAGACTGAGCAGGGCTGCTTCCGCGCCGCAGTGCCCTCGGGGGCCTCGACGGGCATTTACGAGGCGCTGGAGCTGCGCGACGGCGACAAGACCCGCTACAACGGCAAGGGTAAGCCACTGCCGCCCCCGCTGCCGCCGCTGCTGCAGCTCCCCGCCCCCCGCAGCAGCAGCAGCAGCGCAGCAGGGCGAGCGGCGTGTGCGGCTCTCAGGGGTGCTGAAGGCCGTGGAGAACGTGAACAAGGTGCTGGCGCCGGCGCTGGTGGGGAAGGACTGCCGCGAGCAGGCAGCGCTGGACCGGCTGATGGTGGAGGAGCTGGACGGCAGCAAAAACGAGTGGGGCTGGAGCAAAAGCGTGCTGGGCGCCAACGCAATCCTCGCCGTGTCGATGGCCCTGTGCAGGGCCGGGGCCGCGGCGAAAGGCATCCCCCTGTACAAGTACGTGGCGCAGCTCGCGGGCCACGAGGCGCCCGAGTTCGTGCTGCCAGTGCCCTGCTTCAACGTGCTGAACGGCGGCAAGCACGCGGGCAACAGCCTGGCCATGCAGGAGTTCATGGTGGCGCCGGTGGGCGCGCGCAGCTTCGGCGAGGCGCTGCGCATGGGCGCGGAGGTCTACCAGGCGCTGCAGCGGCTGCTGAAGGCCAAGTTCGGGCTCGCGGCCACCAACGTGGGCGACGAGGGGGGCTTTGCGCCGGACATCAAGGACCCCAGGGAGGCGCTGGGGCTGCTGGTCGAGGCCATTCGCGCTGCGGGCCACGAGGGCAAGGTCAAGATCATGGCGGACGTCGCCGCCTCCGAGTTCTACAGCAAGGAGGCCAAGAGCTACGACTTGGACTTCAAGAGCCCCGCCGCCGACGCCCACAGGCTCTTGACTGGCGACCAGCTCAAGGACGTGGGCCGCGGGCTCTCCGCCCGCCGTCGCTGCTGCTGCGCCCCTCCGCCCTCCCCCTGCTGCTCCTCCTGCGCGCTTCCCGCTGCTCTTCCGCTCTTCCCGCTGCTCCTGCTCTTCCGCTCTTCCCGCTGCTCTTCCACTCTTCCCGCTGCTCTTGCACTCTTCCCGCTGCTCTTGCACTCTTCCCGCTGCTCTTGCACTCTTCCCGCTGCTCTTGCACTCTTCCCGCTGCTCCTGCTGTCCCACTATTCCCCCTGCTGCTCCGCTATTCCCGCCGCTGCTGCTGCTCCGCTATTCCCGCCGCTGCTGCTGCTCCGCTATTCCCGCCGCTGCTGCTGCTGCGGTATTCCCGCTGCTGTTGCAGTGCTCCGCTGCTGCTGTTGAAAGCCGTGCTGCCGGTGCTGCTGGTGCGGCTGCAGCTGTTCAAGGAGTGGTCTGAGGAGTTCCCGATAGTGTCGATCGAAGACCCCTTCGACCAGGACGACTTCAGTTCGTACGCGGCGCTGACTGCGGAGATCGGCAGCAAAGTGCAGGTGGTGGGAGACGACCTGCTGGTGACGAACCCCGCGCGGATCCGCAAGGCGCTGCAGCACAAGGCCTGCAACGCGCTGCTGCTGAAGGTGAACCAGATTGGCTCCATCACCGAGGCCATCGAGGCCTGCAAGCTGGCCCAGGCCAGCGGCTGGGGGGTGATGGTGTCCCACAGGTCCGGCGAGACTGAAGACTCCTTCATAGCGGACCTCGTGGTGGGCCTCCGCACTGGCCAGATCAAGACGGGGGCCCCCTGCAGGTCCGAGCGCCTCTGCAAGTACAACCAGCTGCTGCGCATAGAGGAGCAGCTCCAGGGCCGCTGCACCTACGCCGGCGAGAACTTCCGAAACCCCTCCAACTAGCTGCTGCTGCTGCTGCGGGGTGAGGGATGGCTGCCGCGCGCGCTGCTGCCCACGATTTGTCCACAGACTCGACTCTTTTAGCTGTTTCTTTCGAGGACGCGGGAGTTCAGGGGTGTCGCAAACCCCAAACCCTAAACCCTTGGGGTTTTAGAAGTGCAGAGTAGCTGTAGTGTCGCCCTTGCGGTGTAACTGGCCTAGATTCGCTGCTCAGCTGCGGACGAACTTTGGGGCTGCCTTGCTGCTGCTGCCTAGCTGTGCATTCCTGCTTGCTGCTGCCACATAGCAGCCGCTGTTTGAGTTGCTGCTGCGTAGCTGTTGCTGTTGTGGTCGCTGCTGTTGCTGCTACTGCTCCATACTCTCTTTTAACTGGCTACAGAGGACTCCTATTGAAAGACTGTGGGGTGCAGTAATTATGAGGGGCTGTTTTGTCTGCACAGACAGCTTAGCGCTGAAAAGAAGCAAAAGCGAAGCTGTTGCAACAGTTGCTGCAGCACTTGCTGCAGTAGTTGCTGTAGTTGTTGCTGCAGTAAATGCGCGAGATCCACTGCACCAGCTGCCGCGGCAGTTGCGCGGCGTCAGTTGCGGCACTTGGCCCTTTCGCAGCAGTGGCTGCAGCAGCTGCAGCAGAAGTCGCTGCAGCAGCTGTAGCTGCCTCTGTTATGCAGCAGCTCCTGCAGCGCCACAGCAGCAGGCTTTTGGCCTCAGGCAAATATGAGGTCTGTCTCTGGCAACCAATGCAAGAAGGGCTCCAGTGTGAACTCCACAAGAGAAACTGCAGCAAGAAAGACACAGCAGCAACAAGAAGCAGCAGCAAGATGACACCAGAAACTCAATCCTCGCAGCATGCGCGCTTCCTCCTCACTGCCTCCAGCAGCAGCAGCAGCAGCGGCCGCCTGTAGCAGCAGCAGCAGAAGCTGCTGGCAGCAAAAAGCGACTCCAGCAGCGCAGCGCAGCAGCAATATGTGCCTCACCAGGAACAGCAAGGCCAAAGGCGCGGAGGCAGTCGACGTGTAGAGTGCCCATGTGGCCCAGAGTGAGGCAGTCCGGGTCTGCTGCGTGGGAGGCACCATTCGTCTGCTGCTGCTGCTGCTGCTGCTGCTCCGCTGCTGCTTCTGTTCGCTTGAAGGTGGCCCCGCGCTCCTTGAAGGTACGGCGGCTCACAGAGATCTCCACCTGGCGGCCGGGCAAAAACGTCGGCACTGCAGAGCCCCACAGCAGACACAACCGCAAAAGCTGCAGCAGCAGCAGCAGCAGGCTGCAGCAGCAGCACAAGGACCGAGACAGCAGCAAGTGCTGCATACGGAGATGCTAGAACTCGCCCAAGTCCCCCCAGAGACTTTCTGAGAAGCAGGAGGGAGCAGCCCTAAGGCAGCAAAGGGCAGGAAACTGGATAGGCGGCAGCAGCAGCAGCAGCAGCAGCAGGAGGGCACCAGCGGCAGGCGAAGCCTCACGCTGCGTAGGCTTTAGAGAGAAAATGCGCATGTTCTCAAAAGTCTTGAGGGCCTCCTGCTGCTCCTCGCGGCCAGCAGCAACTGCTGCTTGTCTTTCAGCCACCACATAATCCCCTATTAGCCCCATGGCCTCCAGCGCCGCGTCCAGCAGCCCGTGCACCTCCTGTGCGCACGTGCTGCCTAAACCCTAAACCCTAAACCCTTAACCATAACCCCTTAGCCTCAAGTCCTTGACCCTAAAGCCTCGGAGAGGCACTGCCAGCAAACGCGACCCGCCACACCCTCAAAAAGAAGCCAGCAGCAGCAGCAGCAGCAACAACAGCAGCAGCAGCAGCAGCAGCAGCACACAGATGCTGCTGCCAAGAGGCAGAGGCCCACCTCCAGACCGCTGCCGTGTTCGTCAGCAAAGGCGGCGCTGCAGTACAGCAAGTTGCGGCTGCCAGTCTCTGTCCTATCGTCCCTAATCACCACGTCTCCGATCTGAGGCAACACAGAAAAGGCTTAGCTAGCCAGCTAGCTAGCTAGCTAGCTATCTAGCTAGCCAACTGCCTGGCTAGCTAGCCACGCCGCGGCGGCAGGGCTTCGGGTCTCCCGCAGCTCGGCTGTACTACCCGCCCTGCTCTGGCCACTGGCCAGCTAGCTAGCCAGCTAGCTACCCAGGCAGCTAACCAGCCAGCCAGCCAGCCAGCCAGCTAGCTAGCTAGATAGCTAGCCAGCTAGCTAGCAGCTAGCGAGTTCACGCCGAGCTAACCTCGAAGAGTCGAATGGGCATCTCCCTGCGGCCGATGTTGGTCGCGAGAGACTTGAGAAGTCCCGAAAGCAACTGAGTCCTCGTCTCTGTCAGTTCCCGTGTCTTTGCGTTCGACAGCAGCACGGGCATGCCTCCCCACTGGTGCTGCAGCAAGCAGCAGCAAGCGCAGCCAGCAGCAGGTCACTTGCTGCGCGGCTGCCCCGGTCATGCAGCAGCAGCAGCAGCAGTACCTTCAAAGCGAAACAGCAGCAACAGCAGCAGCAGCAGCAGCACGGGCACTCGACTGCGCTATGATCAGCGCAGCCAAGAACCGCACATTCCCTGCGCGGCTGCTGCGCCCATGTAGCAGCAGCAGCAGCGCAGCAGCAGCAGCAGCAGCAGCAGCAGCGGACTTCGAGGGGGTCGAAGGCGGGGGTGGGCTGGTGGGGGTGGTAGAGGGGCTTCTTGAGGGCCTCTGCGTTTTCTTCTTGGCTGCAAAGGGCAAACGTGAGGCACTCTGTGAATCCCAAAGAAACCAACAAAGTCCTCAAACTTTGCTTCAGCAGCGAGCGAGGGTTGCAGGCCAACTTCGGGGCCACCGTTCGTGGGATCGTCTCAAAACCGATCCCAATCGCCACGTCCTCGGCCACGTCCACCTCGTGCATCACATCTGCAGCAGCAACAACCCCACACTCAGCCCCGGGGCCCCCTCAAACCTCCAGCCCACAAGGCCCAGCTACCCTGGAGGCCCCCTGGGGCCCCCTGGGGGCCCCCTAGGGCCCCCTGGGGGTCCCCTGGGGGCCCCTTGGGGCCCCTGCGTCCAGCAGCTCTGGCACTTTCTGTTGACTGGGGGCCCCCGCTGTGCCCCGGGCCCCCAGCGGTTGGGGCTCGAGCAAGCCGCCAAACGCTGAACCCTAAACCCTAGCGCTAAACCCTAAACCCTAAACCCTAAACCCTCCAAACCCTACCTGTGCGGGTGGGAGGCACGGAAACCAGGAGACTGTCGCGCTCGTCGTGAGGGTCTGGGCGAGCCGGCAGCATCAGCCGATGCAGCTGCTGCGCTGCTTCTGCTGCTGCTAAGTTCTGGAGGCCACAAATGCGCCGCACTGTGGACATCTGGACCTTCATTTCGCGCCTAAGACGCAGCAAAAAGCCCACGTCCGCAGCCAGCAGCAGCAACAGCAGCAGCAACAGCAGCAGCAGGACGTAATTCTGGGTTTCACACCGGAGTGGTTGTGTGTGCGTCTGTGTGTCTCCATTTGTCTGTCTGCTGCGGTCCTGGCCTAGCTGTGGGCTCCACCGCTGCTGCTGCTGCTGCTGCCTCTGCTGCTGCTGCTGCTGCTGCTGCTGCGCTGGGGCCTCACATGTCCAGGCAAGGAGTCACCAGCTCGCGGCCCTCCGCCTCGTAAACCACCCGCACTGGCTCCACAGCAAAAGGCTCTTCGCAGTACTCCGCCAGCATCGCCACCACCGTGTTCAGTGCCACTTGGCCCTTGTTCTCTTCCACCTGCAGCAGCAGCAGCAGCAGCAGCAGCAGCAGCAGGACGTGGTTCAGGACTTCGCGAAGGGGTATTTGTGTGGCCCTGTGTGGCTACGATTCGCCCTCTCTCTAGCCAGCCACGGAGCCAGCTAGCTAGCTAGCCAGCTAGCTAGCCAGCTAGCCAGCTAGCTAGCCAGCTAGCTAGCCAGCTGCTCAAAGGCATGCATAATGAGAGCAATATGGCTATTCTCGTAGCTGCACAGCTAGCTAGCTAAACGCAGATCAACAGCCACCAGGGCCCAGAATGACTCTGCATGCAGCTAGAGGGGGGTTTTCGGGGCTGCATGCAGGTTTGTGGCTGCTGCTGCTGATGCTGCTGCAGCTGCTGCTGCTGCTGCTGCAGCCTTCGGGCCCCGGGTCTCACCGAAGTGCAGTCAATGAAGATGTCTCTGGAGTCCGCCGTCAGTTTGCAGCCCTCGGCGTTGATGAGGGGAGGCATAGAAAGGACTTGGCCTTTTGAGTCTTTCAAAAGGTAGAGTCGGGGCTGGCCCTCCAGCATGTGCAGGTATTGCTGCAGCAGCAGCAGCAGCAGCAGCGGCAGTTCACAAGAGTCCGCAACTCCCCCTAGACCAGCGCCCTCTGCTGCTGCTGCTCGTGCTGCTGCTGCTGCTGCTGCTGCTGCCAGGGCCAGAGGGCAGCCCACGGGCCCGCATAAAGACGGAGGCAGCAGCCCCAAAGAGCAAAAGCATGCAGCAGCAGCAGCAAAGTGCAGCAAATGTGCAGCACGAGAGACGGCCACAACAGAGACACAAAACGAGACAAAGTGCTGCAGGGCCCAAAGGAAACAAGGGGACAAGCAGCAGCAAAAGGGCCCCAGCAGCAGCAGCCAACAGCAAGCAGCCCCAGGGGCCCAAGCCTGCAGCTCAGCAGACTCCCTGGGGGGCCCCACCCAAGGGCACTGCAAGCCTCACGGGTCAGGGGGCCCCCAGGGGGCCCCAAGGGTATTGCCTGCCACAGGGCTCAGGGGGCCCCCAAGGCCACTGGCAGCCACAGGGCTCAGGGGCCCCCTGGGGGCCCCCCAACCCCTGGAAGCCCCAGGATTAAGGGGCTCCTCCCCCACGGGGCCCCCCCAAGGCACCCCCAGGGGGCGCCCCAAGCACCCCCAGGGGGCACCCCAAGGCACCCCCAGGGGGCCCTGCACAGCCCCCCCAGGGGGCCCCTTGGGGCCCCCTAGGGGGGCCCCCGGGACCCCCTGGGGGGGCCCCCGGGGCCCCTTCGGGAGGGAAGAGAAGTACCTTGAGCTGCGGATGTGCAGCGAAGTGGGTGAGGATTTGGGGGCCCTTCATCGGGGGCAATTCGCTGCAGCCGAGGGGCTGGAAGAAAACCTCTTGGGGGGGATAAGCCCCATAAGAAAAGGGGGGCTGGAGCAGGGCCAAGTCGTAAGTGCCTATGGACACGAGGGTGCGGCGCCTGCAGCCGCAAACCCTAAACCCTAAACCCTAAACCCTAAGCCCTCGCCCAAACCGCAAACCCTTGAACCCCACGCAGCCAACCCAAACACTCCGGCCACGCCATACCCGGACCCTTCGGGGCGCTGCTGCAGCACATCTAAACCCTTCAGGCACGCAGCCGCAGCAAACCCTAAACCCTCCGATCCCGCAGCTGCAGCAAACCCTAAACCCTTCCGGCCCGCAGCTGCAGCAAACCCTAAACCCTTCCGGCACGCAGCCGCAGCAAACCCTAAACCCTTCCGGCACGCAGCTGCAGCAAACCCTAAACCCTAGGTCTAAAAGCGAGCTCTGGGCCCTTTAAACACGACGCCAAATCACCAAATTCTCAAAACACAACTCAAACCCTTGAGGCTCAGCTACCACGCCCTCAAGACAAACCCTAAACCCTCGAAACTAAACTCTACACCACTGGAACTAAACCCTAAAACCTAAGCCCGCCAAATCAAACTCTAGGCAGTGAAACGTGGGATGCACAAAACGACCAAAACCCTGTTCCCCACAAGAACGCCTCCCAAACCCTAAACCCTAAACCCTAAACCCTAAACCCTACCTGCACAGAGTGTGGTGGAGCTTCTCCTGAAGCTCTATGCAGGACTGAAGGCGCCTGGGGTTAAGGCGGACACCTCGAAGGGCCGCGCAGGCGATGAAGGGCCGGGGCCCCTGGGCCTGCAGAGCAGCAGCAGCGGGGCCCCAGCGGTGCAGCAGCAGCAGCAGCAGCAGCAGCAGCAGCAGCAGCAGTAGCAGTGGCACCAGCAAGGCAGCGACAGTTAGGGGAGTGGGATCGCCTCTGTAGGCGACCCCGCTGCGAACGACCAAGCGCCACAGAAACGCCCTGGCCAACAACTAGCTGCAGCAGCAGCAGCAGCAGCAGCAGGTGCTGCTGCCTACGGACGCCTTGACGTGCAGCGTAATCTTGGGGGGCCCCGAGAGCCGCAAAGAGGGGATGGACCCTAAAGGGTCTTTTGCGGTGAAGACCTTCAGGGCCCTTCCGAGGCCCTCCACGCACAGCAAGTCGTACCTGCGCGCAAACCCTAAACCCTAAACCCTAAACCCTAAACCCTAAACCCTAAACCCTAAACCCTAAACCCTAGGCGCCGAGAAACTGTTGGGAGACAGCCAAATAAAGAGGAAAAGACGAGGTAAGCAGCACGGAAGCAACAGCGAAACCCTTTCTTAGGGTTTAGAAGAGGTCCCCAAACCCTAAAAAGTTGACTGGAGACGTCGAGGGCCCTCACAGCCAAAACCCTAATTGGGGGCCCCCAAGCAGCACAAAGGGAGCAGCAGCAAGCCAGGGGGCCCCCCATGAAGAGAGGCCCCCTGCCACAGAAAAGGTGACAGGCGAACTTTAGGGTTTAGGGTTTAGGGTTTAGGGTTTTACCTATTTGCTGGGACATCTATTTTGAGGGTTTTCTGACCCTCCAGTTCCACCACTTCATCCAATTCCACCCCAAAGGCGAAGCACAAGCTGTTCAGTTCATCGTCAGCTGCAGAGGCCGCAAACCCTAAACCCTAAACCCTAAACCCTAAACCCTAAGCCCCGACTCCCAGACCCTCAGCGGCGCTCCCGGCTGCGTTGCTGCAGCAGCAGCAGAGGTGTGCCTAGGCGTGTGTGCTGCGCTGCTCGCGGAAACCCTAAACCCTACGCCCCTAGCCCTAAACCCTAAACCCTAAACCCTAAACCCTAGACGGACTGTATATCCTGCCAAGGCGCTCGTAGAGCTCCTCAGCCACGACGGGAACGGTCGGCATTCCAGAAACAGAAGAAGATGGAGATAAAAAGATGAAACGAAAAAAACAAAAACGAAAGAAGAAATAAAGACAGACACTTCGAAAAAACGAAAATAGAAAAAAAAGAAAGAATGCAGACACTCGGCAAGTCCTCGAGCAGCAGCGACACGCCGGGCTTGAGGTGTAGCAGCAAATCAGCAGCAGGGGCCCAGGTGTTAGAGCCCTCAGCCAAGGGTTTAGGGTTTAGGGTTTAGGGTTTAGGGTTTGGGCTGGAGCGCCTACGCTCGGAGAGGCCCCGTGGGGTAACGACTCGTTAGTACAGCAGGGCCCCAAGGCTCGATGCATGCGCAGCAGCAGCAGCAGCAGCAGCAGCAGCGTCTCTAATCTGCAGCAGCAGCAGAAAAACATATATGTGTTTGGTTTCATCAGTTCCAGCAGCCGCAACAGCAGCCGCAACAGCAGCAGCAGCAGCAGCAGCCTTGTCGGGAACTTTGTGTGGGTATTCCCGACCTCAGCGCCTCCCCCTTCCTTCTTCCTCAGCGCAGCAGCAGCACTGCAGCAGCTTGCTGCTGCAGCAACGCCTAGCAAGCAGCAGCCACACAAGGGCCCCCCTTAGGACACCCCAGCCCGCTGCAGCACAAGACAAGGGTCCCCTAGGCCCTCTGCTGGGGCCCCCTGGCCCCTTTAGGCAGGTCCATTCCTTTCTACGAACCACAGTAGGGTTTGAGGGCTTCATGTCTGTTGCCATAAGCCCGGGGCCCCCCACCGAGGCCCCTGTGGGGCCCCCCGGGGAGGCCCCCCTGCAAGAGGCCCCCCCGGGGTCCCCCCCGGGGTCCCCCCCGGGGGCCCCCCTGGGGGCCCCCGAAGGCCCCAGAGAAGAAAAGACCTTCTTTGGATTGCCCACAGCGCTGAGGCCAGATGGCCGGCTGAGTGCGAAGGCCTTGAGGCCAATTTCTGTGGAGTTGGGGCCCCTGAGGGGCCCCCGAGGCAGCGCCAGGTGCTCGCAGGTGGGGAGTCCTCAGCAGCAGCAGCGGCAGCAGCAGCACCAGTAGCAGCAGCACCAGTAGCAGCAGCAGCACTAGCAGCAGCAGCACCACAAGCAGCAGCAGCAGCAGCACCACTAGCAGCACCACTAGCAGCAGCAGCAGTAGCAGCAGCAGCAGCAGAGTGGGATGTGTGTGCTGCACGCAGGGCCTGACGGTGGCGCTGGCCACTGTTGTGGGGCCCCTGGATGCAAGGGGGGCCCCCCCGACGGAAGCAGCAGTTGCAGTTTCGGTGAAGACCCTTTCGCAGCCTGCGACGGGGCCCCGCATGGCTGCTGCTGCTGCTGC